GCATGGGCAAGGCAGGCAGCCTCACAGGATCACCCACAGTAAAATTAACATTATTATTGTTTTTGTTGTAATGATAGCATAGAAACAGATGAGGTCACCCAAGGAGAAATGTCAAACAGAAAAAAGACTAAAACTTAAGGCACTCCAAAATGTAGAGGCTGAGTGAAGAAAGAAAAGGCAAAGAAATAAACCAATAAAGCATAGACAATAAGGGAGGAGAAAACCACCTCAAAACTAATACACAGTTGGAATTAATTAAGTCAAAGCCATAACACTAGACATACAGGGACCAAACAGCAGTGGAATGAAGAATGAATGGTAACAGAGCAAGCAAATGCTCCCAATGCATGCCTCTAATTTGAGATTTTTTTTTATAAAAGGTGACATAAAATGGGAAAGTAGATGGGTAAAAATGTTGTCATCAAAGGCTATCGTTTTAAAAATGTAATATAACTGCAACAATCAAAATTGATGGATTTTTCAAACTGCATTGAGGGGCCGGCGCTGTGGCGCAGCGGGTTAACACCCTGGCCTGAAGCGCCAGCATCCCATATGGGCGCCGGTTCTAGTCCTGGCTGCTCCTCTTCCGATCCAGCTCTCAGCTATGGCCTAGGAAAGCAGTGGATGATGGCCCAGGTCCTTGGGCCCTTGCACCCGCACCCGCGTGGGAAACCCGGGGGAGGCTCCTGGCTCCTGGCTCCTGGCTCCTGGCTTTGGATCGGCGCAGTTCTAGCCGTTGCGGCCAATTTTGGAATGAACCAGTGGATGGAAGACCTCTCTCTCTCTCTCTCTCTCTCTCTCTCTCTTTCTCTCTCTGCCTCTCCTATCTCTGTGTAACTCTGACTTTTGAATAAATGGATAAATCTTTTAAAAAAAAAACTGCATTAAGTCTGTAGATACATTTTCGATTCTAGAGTGATTTCATGTAATTTGATTTGTTTTTATTTATTTTCTTTAGAGGTAGCATGTATTTTCTAAATTGCTTCTATATGCCATTTCCTATAAATTTTCATTCCATTTCATTCAGAATAACTGCCTGGAGGTGGGGTGTCGTAGTATAGTAGGTAAAGCTACCACCCGTGACACTGGAACAAAATAAGGCAACAGATTTGAGTCCTGGCTGCTCCATTTCTGACCCAGCTACCTGCTAATAGCCTGGAAAAAGAAGCAGAAGATGGCCCAAGTACTTGGGCTCCTGCTACCCTTGTGGGAAACCCAAGAGAAGCTCCTGGCTCCTGCCTTCATCCTGGCCCAGCCCTGGCAATTGCAGCCAACTGGGAAGTGAACCAGCAGATGTAAGATCTTGTTCTCTCTCTCTCTCTCTCTCTCTCTCCCTCCCTCCCTCTCCTTCTTTCCCTTCTCCTCCGTCTTTCCCCCCTCTCTCCATAACTCTTTCAAATAAATATATCTTTTAAAAAAAGAATAACTGCTTAAACCTTTGCCCAAAGCATATGGTTATATTCATGTAATTGATCTAGTAGAGGATGAGAAACTAAGGATGAGATAACTGAATATACATAGACCCGAAAAGAATAAAAGGAATAATAGTTCAGATAATAAACATTTATTGTTATTTATTGGATGCAGGTATGTGTGGTTCTATTTGATGGTGGAAGATGGAGTATTTCACAGATGAATTCCACCTCTTCAGTGAAAAGAATATAGGATGTTTGAAGACAGAGGGCATGTTACAAAATAAAGTAGTCATCTTGGTGATGGAAAGGGAATTAACATCAGGAACAGATTACATTTGCCAGCCAGGGATGAGGCTTATCTTCAATAATTTAATGTGATTTTTATCAGTAATACACAGGCTATCAAGATGCAGGAGAGATATTAAGGAGTTACACTCAACCAAAGCTGAGAATTCCCCTATGAGGTGATAGAATGGATAGTGAAAAATGCAAATGATTACAGTACCCCACCAGTAAATGTTTTACATTGCTTACCTAGCAGATGTGACTGTGATGTGGGTAGGAATATGGTCACTTTACTCTATATAAGAGGATAAAGCAACTACCAAACCACAATGGCAGACAAACTGTTCACATGATCCACATCAGAGGAATATGTGTGAATGGCATGAGGGGGCCAGAAACCAAGAGATCAACAGTAAGAGATTGCCAGGAAGATCAAGCAATTGACAACAGGGAAGGGAACTCAGGCAAATGTCATGAGTTTCAGAATGGATAAAGTTTTTCAAAGAGTACAGAAAAGAAATCATTTGGAAGAGAATATTTAGAACAAAACAAATCCCACCATCTTAGATTTACATCAGTGAGGAACAACTTTAAAGGGGCCACAGCTAAAAACATTTGTCATTTATTTTAAGTAAAGTGGGTAAAGGAAAATCTTCCCAAAATAACAGAGGGCAAATATAAGTTTGTAGACAGTGTATCAATGTGAAAGATTCTGGCATAGGTGGGAAGAATTACATACAATTAGGGAATAGAGGCAGCATATTGCATACGGCTTTATGATGATTCTGGTAAACTTTAAGAGTCTGCCTGTTGTCTATGAGGCAACATGGGGTTCATCCTGATAGTTCATTACAGGAAGGCAGCTAATCATTGAAGATAATAGTTCTGTTATTTATAATTGTTGGAGTAGCATATATAAACCCTCCTGTAGTTCTTAATGATGTGGCATTTTGGGTCTGGGGGCAAGACCAGACCACAGCGGTCTGTCATCACAGTGACTGCTGCTCTCTGCTCATCATTGCTGCAGAGCAAAGAGCAACTAAGCATTAGGAGACTGTGCTTTGTTTAATATTAATTTTATTAAATCAAACAGAGGATTCTTTGTAGAGTTGTGGCAAAAATGTCTTGTGGCTTTATAGGGAAAACACACTGAAGACTCAGTTACTAGATAATGCAACTAGTCATAACAGCCAATCCCTGGAGAATCTCTGATAACCAAGCTTGAATTCTATTAAAAAATTATCATGAGACCAGAAGATATTTGCCAGGAATAAGAGAGGCTGGAACTGGTAATTAATCCTTCTTCACTGTTGAATGGTGATTAGGTCCTCATGAGATTGTTACAAAGCTGAGCTCTAAAAGTTGAAAATAGATATGGAAATGTTGGAAAGAGTCCAAAGAAGACTAAAGGAAATCATTTAACATTAATTTTTATAAGGAAAAGTGAAAGTCTTATGTGTCTGGAAGAAGGAAATGTTCAGGAGTGATAATTTCTGATTTCAAACCTATTCTAGGACAAGTAGTTGGTATTTCAGTTTTCATGAAATTTGGAATTCAACTGTATTAGCAGATAGTCTTTAGAAAACTAGGGAAAATGCATTTAAACACCAATGGTTCAACAAAAGGCAGTATGAACATATTATTCCTGAAAATGGTATTACAGGTTCAGCTAGAGACTTCCAGAAAGTGAGGGGGTAGGCAGGGATGAGGGACTCTATAGGATGACAATGTGTCTCTTGACAATGTGTACACAGAACAAAATTCAGTAATGACAGAAGAAGAAAGGTTAGCCATTTCATGGATATTGTATTAAGCTATTTTTTATCCCAAAGCACCTGAAAAGACCTAAAACCTGGTGACAGATAAATGTGTCTTGAAATAGAATCTTAACTGAGAGTTACCGCTACCTTTCTTTGCGTCCTTACATCTTGCAGAAGCACTCAGTAATGTCTGGAGCCTGAACCAGAGAAACTCCAGTTTGGTTTCCCTTTTCTTTGTATCACATATGATGCAAGGTCATTGAATGTCTAGGTCTTAGTTTTCTTATCTGGGAATAATGACAACCACTCTGGTTAAGATGCTGAGAGACTTGACTGATGAAACCAGCTGACTCACTGTGGGACTTTGCTGCTACATAGAGCCAACATCGGGACTCGGCTTCAGGCCTCCTCCTTCCAGTAATGATTGCCCAAGTGGCTGGATGCTGCATGCATCTCAAAGAAGTAGTATGATGAAATGTGACTTGCAGGATAAAAGGAAGACATGCCTGTCTCCAAGATGTCCTCACTATCTTTGAGACATCATGGTAGACTTTGTTATCTTACCCACTCTGTTTTTGTTCTGTATCAAATTGGTCCTGAGAAAAAAAAAATACATAGGAAGAGCAAATCATTTGGATGCAGGATCGGTTCATGAAGATGATGAACGAGAATGCCCTGAATAGATTGGAGGGACAAGCCTTTCTGGGAAAGAAAGGTGGAGTGCAGCAGAAAAGGAAGGGAGAAAGTCCTAAAACAGACCTTCTACTCCCCATCACAGTGCTCAGGAGCAAGTCTGCTTTCAGGATTCAATATAGTTATTTACTTCTTATCATGAAGGAAAAATTCTACGTGCACAAGTAAAAACCAGACTCCCAGATGGATGTAAACCCACCAGAATGCAAGATGCAAGTTTTGTCTTTCTCAGGAATTTTCACAGTATAAAAGTGGGCAACAGAAATATAATACATATTTTTTTCTCTATATACCAGTGATAAAGTTGTTTCAGAAACCAGGTCAGTACTCAGAGCCTAAAAGAAATCTTGTGTTATGTGGGATAATTTTTTACCGTAATTTGATTTGTCTCACTCTGATAGATAAAAGAATGAAAAAAGGCCCTATTTTCACCAGAACACTCAGATCATACATAACTTCAAGACACAACTTTTTAGAAATTTTTTATGCAATGCATTCATTGTTCACTGCTGTCAAAGCATTTCAAGAAACCAGAATAATTTGAATATCTTTCTTTTTTTACTTACCCAATATTAAACAGGTAAGGCTTTTGCAACTGTTCTTAATTTTTATGAAAATTAATGAAAAGTGAAAGAGCAATTTAAAGCATGCAAGGTTTGGTGAAATTATTACTTATTAGAACATTACTGAAGTATCTATATTTAGTAACACTGCATGCATTAATATATTTTCTAAATTGGTGAATTTGTTATAGATATGTTAAGATCAACTACTTCCACTTAAAAATTTTGAGGTGACACATTGGCAATTATAATTCCACTCACATAATTTCAAGAGCTTTATATATTATGTAATTTGGATTTTACTGTTTAGTTTGGGTGACTATAAAATGATTTGGGGTTTTTAAGGACTGAGAAATATTGCTCTAGGTTAGTTTTTGCAAACAGAAAGTTGAGTGTTATAAATTCCACCTCCCACAGACCAGAATTCACATCCATTGGTCAGGGGCAAATACCACTGGCTCTGCGTGCTCAGTCACTTTGTGCCATTCCACCAAGTCGGAGCCAAAGGTAAGTTTTTACACTTGCTTTCTTCTTGGGTCAGAGTTTTTTTTTCCTACTATAACAACCTTTAAAAAAATTATTCAACTCATTTTAATATAGCCTGGTGAACTTTGATCTAATGGATTTGGTTTAATTTTGCAATTGACTTTATATTTATACTATTCTTGGAAAATCCAAGATTATGAATTAGCTTAGGAATAAATAACATACAGCAAAACAGCTGATCATAATATTCATGACAGAAGCCAATAAAATTATGGTAGTTTCCAATAAATGCTTTAAATCAAGAACACTGATGCAGGCCATATACTGTGCCAATATAGACAGGCACTATTGATTGATATTGGTTGAAAAATTAGGCAAAAGGAAAACATAGAGTTACTGCATGTGCTGAAAAGTAGTCTAATGATCATATAGCATCATTCATTTAGAAAGTCTTTTTAAGCTAAATATTTTAAAGTCAAATAAATGTATTTTCAAAATATTGTAGAATGGTATAAAATAAACAAGTTCAAAGTGTTAACTAAGAAACTACATTAAGACTAACAAAATGTCTTGAGGAGAGAAACAAAATTTTTAAAACTACATATAGATAGATGTTCTTTATCTTTTTAAGGTTCACAAAGACAGTCTTATTATTGATAGCTTTAAGGCTTATGCCAAATACAACTCTCTGTCTCTCTCTCTCTCTCTCTCTCTCTCTCTCCACATATGTGTGTAGCCATTTATAAATAATAAAATACATAGTATAAAGTGAGAAAAAGCATAACAAGTGCATAATTTCTTTGAACAACTGAAGTTGCCAAAGATTTAAAAGGAAAATATTTTGTTAGGTTACTGGTGGTCACAGTTAATGCTTCCCACTTGAATATGGGAGAATGATTCCTGGAAGATTTGCAAATCAGTGTTTTATTAAATAAGACTTTGTTGGTTATTGCCTAGAACAGTTCCAAATCTGCAATCCTGCAAAGACTTAGCAAAAGCAAGTGAAATGCAGGCTTAGCTTATCCAGTGTGAATAAAAAATTTATTTGAAAAAAAGCATAGGAAGGGATAAAAAGGAGCTCCTTGTACTGCTTCTTATTCTCAGAGGAATTTCATATCCTTCTGCCTAAACATACTCCATAAAGACGTTCTTTCAAGTAACTGGAGGTCATTTTGTCTGCCAGTGCATTCAAGTTTAAAAGTAATATGTATCATGAATCCCCCTTTATATGGGAGCAGAGGCACCAACAGCATATGGAGTGTTCTTAAAGTAAACACAAGCAGTGGATCCAAAATACAAAAGATTTTAAAATTGCATGTGTTAGATAAAAAGTTTTTCCTGCTCAGCATATGGTCACTAGATAATTATTTTGATTGGACCAACTTAATGTTTAAAATAAAACCTGAAGAGGTTTTCTTTCTCCCATCAATTAATATGTGCTCAAAGGAGTACATAAATAATTAACAAAATTACCAGATCTTGATGGAGTCTTTCAAAAACACGATGTTATCATGGAAAACAAAAATTGTGCTTATTACATTATTTAAAAGAAGGATTGTCCTAATCTCACATGTGTGCAAATCTTCCTCACAGGAAAATTTGACAAATAATGCCCTTTGAACATTTATTTGTATTGATTCTCACTTTAAACTTTAGATGGCTACTAAAAGTTAAACAAAATACTAAGAAATAAGGGAAAATGTTCTTTCTGCTTTATTTTTGTTAAGAGCACTCTAAAAAATATTGCAGGAAATATTAATTTGTGTACATATTAAGTTATATTTGTATTTCGATACCCAAGGATAAGAAAGAAGTAACAATGGGAAAAGTTTCATTACTTTGTTCTGAAAAAAAGCCTTAGTCTTGAATATGCATGAGATACTTATGAGTCATATCAATATCCAACTCTATCTCAGCTCCCTTACCTGTAAAATGGTGTGACATTCGGAGTCATCATCATCCTCATCATCAACCCTATAAACCAGAGCTGATATAAGAATATCAATGCTCATTAAATAGTAAAACTCTTATGATGAAAAGATTCATAAATAAGGGTATCGAAAATCTTTCTGCATCCGATTTTTTCTATTTTTGTCTATAACATGAAATTTCTTTTTACTGTCATTAAAATACCCCCTGTAAAAATGTGGATAGATTTGGGAGTTAATTTGACCATTTAGTATCAATGGCCCTCAAAAGCCATAGAGTTCTATGTGTTAGGTTTATAAATTATCCTTGTAAAGAAACCTGCCAGATTTAGTTTCTTGAAATTGATGTTGATTTATCATTCTTATTTATTGCAAACTATTCATAAGCTATTATCAATTAAATATTTATACATTTTTATATTCTATGATTAGGAAGTTTGAAAAATGAACATTTTAGCAAGCCTTATTCTGGGACTTGTCTTCTTTGATGCTGCTGTGACAGCCCCAACTCCAGATTCCATCAACTATGACTCAGAAACCTATGGTGCCACCTTGGAAGACTTCGATAACTTATACAACTATGAAAACATACCAATTGAGCAAGCTGAGGTAATTGATTCCACCTGTTATTGGGAACACTGAACTCTTTGGATGAAGGATAATTTGGATTTATTCTTTTCAAAATAATTTTATCTTAAAATTGTCTTTTTAACCTTCTCTCCAGATATGTTCAATCTTTTGAAGCTTAACATTGGAAGTATTTTTGCTTTCTTTCAGGTCACTCTATTTCTTCCAAATCTCTTCAGAAAATTAAAAAATGTGAGTTTCTGTCAAGTTAGAGTACAGAAAATTAAAAGGAAAGACAATGAAAAGGAAAAGGAGAATTCAAATAATCCACATGCAAAGATGAGGAAAGTCTGGGTTAAGGGAAAAGCTATGATATTAAAATAAATTACAAGAAAGTAAAACGTGTGCAGAGAAAGGGTAACAGTTTGGAACTTGACGTACCAAGAGTGAATGTGCTTCCCTAAATGACTGATTGTTTCTCCTGCAGTAATGTAGGCATTGGCAAGGTTACAGCACATTGCATAAATCTGATATGACATGTCCCTAATTAAATGCTAGACTTTTTACATAACTAAAGGATACAAGCTAATTTTTATAAATCAGAAAACAAATAGATCTTGAAATGCTGGAGTGTAGTTAATGTACAACATTGACAGAAACCAATTAACTATAAATAAACAACAAGGAAATTGTATCACCTTTAATGGATCATAACATATTTTGGGCAGTCTTTCAAGCATAAATATTCTAGGGTAACTATTTTGGATAATCAGGGATATGAAATATTTAGCTAAAACCCATATATTTAACTTATAAGGAACATAAGTATATCTTTATTAAGAAGATGGCAATCTTTAGTATTTGCTGAAATGTTATTTATTTCAATAAGCAATATTATTTATTGCCTTATAAAAGAGTTAGATTTTCACAAAAAATGGTTTGCTTAAGTCTTCTCCGCCTTTCCTTCGCCTCCTCTCACTGTTTCTCTCTCTCTCTTGCTTACTCTCATCCTCTCCTCTGCCTCTTTCCCTCTTTTTAGAGAGAAGTTTCAGGCTGAACAGCTAATCACTTTTATTCTTACATTTGGTAGTGATTCTAATTCTTTATTAATATTCACTGTTTGATTCACCTGACTGTATGGCTTCAGTTTTATTCAGGTAATTTTCTACTAAGAGATTGTGGTCCTTCACACCAGTCTTTCGCTATGTGACTTCTGTATCTCTAAACTAACGCATCAATGAAAAGTATAAAAAGAATCTATCAATGGCTAATTCTTCTGCCATGCTTCTTTATGTGTATATATTTATTTGTGTGTTTATAAACCCTAATTGACTATCTACACTTATACATCAAATTAAATATTTTTGTTCAAACTTAATTTTCATTTCTAAGAAAGTGTTCCATAAGATCTAAGAGCCTTGATGACTATTATCAGTGAATACTATCTTTTTGGCAGAGTTCGAGAGTGAATTCAAGGGTTCTGCTTATTTCTTTCAGATGACAAAATGCACAATTGAAGAACCATGCTCCTTTATGCAAAATTTAAAAACAAATGTTTAATCTGGTTTCTTTTTTAAAAAAGATTTATTTATTATTTGAAAGACAGAGTAACAGAATAAGACAGAGATAGAAGAGAGTGAGAGTGAGAGTGAGAGAGAGAGAGGGAGAGAAAGAGAGAGAGAAGAGCAGAGAGATCTGCCAAAAACTCTGTCTAGGTCTCCAACATGGGTAGCGGGGGCTCAACACTTGAGGCATCTTCTGCTGCTTCTCAGGTAGATTAGAAGGGAGCTGGATCAGAAGAAGAGTATCCACTTCTTACTCTGGCATTCTGATATGGAATGCCAGTGCCACAAGCAGTGACTTAACCCAATGCATCACAATGCCAGTTCCCCAGATCTTTTTAAATACATTCTTAATCTCAGAAAGTTGTTATAAATACAATGAATATTTTTAAAATCCCACATAGTAGGCCGTTTTCTCTTTCTATAATGAAATACCTGAGGCAAACTAACTTTATAAGAAAAGAGGTTTATTTCACAGTTCTGGAGATTCAAGGACACAGTGCCAGCATCAGCTTGGTTCTGATAGGATATCACGGTAGATGCCATCACAACCGTGGGAGCACATGCAGGAGTAAGAGGTCACATCTGGCAGGAAGTCAGGAAGTAATTCAAGGATTGGGCATACTCTTACAGTAACTTCTTCTCTTGAGTGTTCAGGGAGATCATTAGTGCTACCTTAACGCATTCCAGTGAACTCAAGCTCCCCCAGTGAATCACAGACCCCACTAGGCCCCGCCTCTGAGAAACTCTACATCATCTCCCAGCAGTCACCCTGGGAACCAAGCTAGATCCCGAGTGGAGTGCTCAGGCACTCAAGCGCTGAACTTGTGATTCACAGAAAACAAGAACTAAAAAGGGGTTATAGTTTTTAGTTTCTCAGTTCTATGGTAATTTGTTGTGCAGCAATAGAAAATGAATAAGACATGTAATACAATGTATTGCTGAAAATCAAATTTGAATTCTATTGATCCATGTCCTACATTTGTTAAATCCAGCAGTTTATAAAGCCAATAAAAAAAAAACCAAAACATCCCCATAGCCCAGTGACAAACATCTCAATTGAGTGTTTTTGATTTGTACTGGTGGTGGTATGTTCACTGCCTCTTTCTTGGCTGGAAATAGTCATTAAGGGCTTTTCTGATCCTGAAAAATTACATGCACTAGTGATCCACACCAATGATTTACATGATTTCTAATGATATTGAACATCTAGAATCCACAGGAATCTGTGTTAGGAACACATTTTAGAACAATTCTATTGTTACACATGTTACTCAATACATACATTTGTTGGTATGAAATAAAATGGTTGTAGCTTTAATATATATTTAATTTTACCTTAATGGTGTGAATAGGAATTGGTCATAGGATATATAAGCAACCTACAGACATTTTGAACTCTGATAAACACTAATGAACGCTCAGTAAAAATTATGACCCAAATACAAGTATTTATTTCTTATAACCAAATTATTTTTCCCATTGATTAGTTGAGGATGTTGAAACAAAGAAGAGTTGAATAACTCTGCTAAGATTAAGCAGCAGACTATGTAGTCACAGTGATGCTATCTTCTCTTATTAAAAAGCAACTTTAATCAGGGTAATCAGCTTTAATTATCTCCCCTTTATTTTCCACTCTGTTTAAAATTGTTCTCTTAACTTGATACTGGCTTTAGTTTAACCTAATGTCCAGTCTCCAATATACACCTAAAAGAGAAAGAAAAGTGTTCTTCTATGGGTGGATAATGCAAGCTAGAAGTAACCTTTATCAATAACTGATTCTCTTTCTTTACTATAACAAAGAAATACTTAAAATTACTTCAAAGAATAATGATATTCCCCAACAATGTCTAACTTCCAGATAATAACATAACTTTAAATGTGCCATGTATCTAGTGGTCTAGGAAACATTTTTCTATTTGTCTTAAAGGACTCATCAGAAACTACACTGTTCAAAGGTTGGTATTGTTTGAGTGACTTTAATTCAGATTGTGTTTTTGATGAAGGTGGTTATTTGGAATGTCCATTTTCATGACATAGTTTCTGCATTATCAATAGTCCATTTCTAGTAGGTTGAAGGGAAATTCAAATTCTTTGCCAAAAGAAAACATTGACCCTGCTCAGTGAGGAATGATTTTTCCCAGCAAAGTGCCCAGTAGCAATATCAATATCCATGGAGCCTCTACTGAAGGATGAGAACTTCCTTTTAACAGTTAAATTTCCTGGGCTCCATACACACAATTAGACTTTCTCTAGCCTATAATACTAATTTAGTCCTATATCATAACTGTTACTTTATTCTACCTGTGTTATCCCTGTGTCTTCAACAAACCCCAAGAAAAGTTATATTATAGAGCCCTGTGGAACTCTTGCTTGCATTTTTGTATGGTAGAATCAGGAGAATTTATAATCACAACACATGTGCTTTTCATGAAGATGTATATGAAAAATTTATGTCCAGTCTCAGTGTCAGAATGGGTTGCAAATTTTAAGAAATTTGCTTATTTTCTGGGCTCAATATTGTATAACTGACTGCGCTTGCCATTTTTTCTTGCTTTGCCTTGCTGTTCAGGAATCTGGAACCCAACTTTGTTATTCTTCCCTGTGTTGTATAGAATATAGCACTTCCACCTTTATTTTCGGGTCACTATAATTTCTCACAGATATTGTGAAATCTTCAAGCTACCTCATCTCTTTTCTGAAAAGAGAAAAATAAATAATAAAACAACAAAAGAGTATCAGTAAAAATTGGCCAAAAGAAATGTCTTGCATGAAGAATGTTCTCTTGTGAATACCTCTCCATTTGATTATAAAAATTTCTCCCTTTCATAAAGAGAATAAGTTGTTGTATTGTTCAAATAATCATTATAAAGAAAACTGTCCTTGAAACAAATTAAGAAAATTTAGGGAAAAATAGCATTTAGAGGTGAAGAAGCTAAAAATTTCCTCTAAGAAATGACAAGGGCTCAAATGAAAGTAGTTGTATCAATTAACATTTGAGGAATGGTTTCTTTTCACCTGTCATCATTATAAAATAGTACCATGGAAAATAATTTTGGAGTATATACGGTTGCCTTATAACACCATAAATTGCTTAAGAAGAATCAAAATAATTTTGGACAACTTTTGGACATTGAAGTCCACCTCTGATATTGATACAAAAAAACTATCTTAACACTGGGTTTTCTAACTATAATAAAATTATATGAAACTTTGTTCATGTTAAAGTCTCTAAAACTCTCTCATTATTTTCTGAACCAAAAGTATTTAAATTAGTAGTATTTCAACTATATCTTTCCTCTGGTGACCAAAGATTTGCAATATTTTTATTTTTATATTTGGAATTACATCTCACTTTGGCTAAAATAGGATGTTTTCAGGTTTCAAATTTATGGTTTATATATCAAGTACTTCATATTGGAAGAAGAGCATTTACCTCTGTCAATCTGAATTAAATACTCTTTTCAGAAATTGGCAAAAATAAAAGCTAATCTTCTCCTTTATTAGAAATGTTCTGGAGGGAAGATGGGAGGGAAGGATTTTGCTGCTCAGTTTTCAGAGGAGTTGTCTGTTCACTTTCCATATGATTATTTTAATAGTGTTAAACCATTTGAATTTTATTTTAAGCTGTTTGAAAACCTTACACAATTAGGCAGTAAAAATATATAATCTTGGAAGCTCATGGGGAAACATTGATACTCTTTGTTAGTGAATTATTTATATTTGTATCATGCATTATTTATGAGACCACATATACGCATCAAGCCAGACAATTAACCATGGAAGGAAGATATTGTTGTACCCATTTAATAAAGAGTTACTGCAGATCACAATTTTGCCCAAGGTTAGTCAGCTAGCAAGAGTTACAGTAAAATTTAAACCACATATTTTAAAACCAAAGCAAAGGGAGTTTGGCACGAGAAGCCTCCATTATTTCTCTTTCATCTTTACTTCTTTTAGCTCTGTCCAATGCTGAGGTTTCTTTTCTCTGAAATTAAGTAATTTGATTATTAGGAATAAGACAAACAACAATTTTGAAGTGATTACAATTAACACATTGTCCAGACATCTCTGGTAGCTGTCAGAGTATTTAAAGGACCAAGAGGTAAGGTGATCCTTCTGAACTGAAAGCAGCTTTGTCAGAAATACAGGGACTGGGCAATCTTTGCCAAAAACACTTCTCCATCATCCGTTTTCAAGATAAAATGGAAAATAAAATACAGCTTTCATTGCCAAGTGCTCACAGTCACATTCTTTTAGATAATTAATATGGTCACTTAAATAAATTTGAGCACCAGGCTCATGTTTAAAGCAGGATTCCATTGTGCTTAATAAATCCACACACCCATATGTTAAACCCATAAGAATACATCTTTAGTAACACAGTCTGGACGGCTCAGAGTTCTTTAACACATTCGGAAAGCAATTGTTGACATCATGGTAACAAGAAGGAATAGCTTTATTTATTTAACCGTGTGGAAGAATTTGGGAGTAAGATAAATTCAAAATTCTACTTAGCTGAATAAAGATATATTTGTTTATCACTGAATTAAAATCCAAAAAATTCTAGATTTCGAATAATTTAAAAATTGTCTTTGAAAGCCTGGCTTTACTAATCAGGAATTGATTGGCACAGAGAGTATTTGCTTATCACAGTGCTAGCTTAACACAGGTTCTCATGTCTGAAACGCTGATTATACAACCTTGCACAGGGCATGAAACCCCTCTAAGCCTCAGCTTCCTATTTTGAAGTTTTTTTGAGGTTTTAACAACATAAACATGTAATCTGTAGAGCTTTGCACGAAGCAAATGTAAGTAGTTTTACCTTCAATCCATTTGTTCAATTAATACCATTTAAGCTAATGTGTTAGTGACAACAGGCATGCAATGGAAGGAATTGCATTTCAGCTTTATGGATGCTAAATTGTGTTGTTCTAGGGTTGACTTTAGGTCCACTTTCCAATATTTCACCGAGAACTGAATTTTTAACAGGTATATTAAACCAAGTCCCTTCCTGTCCTTCAGCATCTGTAATTTAGTACTCTTATAAATAGACAATTTCAACACAATAGAGGAAGTGAAAAAATCCATAAAAGAGGTCTTCAAAAATGCATGGAAATGAAAAATGCTCATTATCTTTTAATTTCCCCAGGTACTTTTACACATGATCTTAGACAAAAGGCTGAAGAGCGATCCCCATGTACTTTTTGAAACACCTTCATATGAGATGTTTGTATACAAGGCCCATAGTTACCCATAAAGATCAAAGTTTCTATGAGTTAATTTACAAAATGTATTATTGAGAAATTATATACCTGAATCTGTGATTAACCTTACAATTGATAGTTAATTTGAGATAAAAAGTATTTTATGTGTGTTATTATTTACCATATTTTCTGAACCAAGATGCATTTAAGGCCAAATAGATAAAGATGTGTGTGTATTTTTGTAAAATAACCATACATATAACTTCATATAACACTGAAATTTATTTGGCCAGTATCTGGTTTTTAAGGGACCCCTATATATACTTCTCCTATGTACTATCTAATGTACAAACTAGTTGACAGATAGGAATGAGACTCAAAACACCCCCCTTTAATACTAATAAAGTTATGGTAAAATATGTAACTTAAGTGTCAAGCATCTATGGGCTTCCAAATAAGTTGTACCATTAGTCAGAGGCAATACTATTCAACTACAGTCCCCAGAACATAGCCTACCTCTAAATCTAAATACATGGAGGAGCCAAACAGGATGCATGCCCTTAACAAGCAGATAATCCCTCCAACAATGCAAAAGAACAACCTAGGATCAGTACTCAGTGAGGCTCATCATTCCTCCTCCCTCAGGACTAAGGAAAGGCACCAACAGAGTCCATACTACCCAGGATAGTGTCTTCTCAAGCCATTAGGCTTAACCATGAAGTGCAATATTGCCCTCAGATCAGCCAACTTTTAGGAGTGTCATGCCAACCAGCACTCTCAGGTATGTAGATTTTTCCCTCCTGAAGTTTCTGAAATTGATCAAAGAGCACATCAAAAAATATATCTCAAAAGCTTCTCTGTACTTAATATTAAAATTTCTCAATTCATGTTATACCTCAAATTATATCAAGGTTCATTGTCTGATAAGAGTATATGAAAGGTTCAGCAGTGAAATAAAGTACTAAGTAAATTTGTGCCAAGAGTACAATTGCAAAAACATAAAGCTAAGACACATCTGTATATATGTGTAATTGATCTACCTCTATGACATTTTTGAGAAAAAAGACCATGCTTCTAGAAAATTAAAGGATCAATCTATTTAAATCCAACAGGATGGAAGCACAAAGAATGTCTTGCCTTTTGATTTAAAAGTCAAAAGAGTACATGCAGTACAAAATTCCTTTCCTCAATTTCTTTTGCTTCATCTCAATTGGATGAATTCTTTTGTTTTCAATTTCACTGCTATACATTACATTTTTTGGTACTCTGTTAGTTACCACAGATCAGGGAAAACATACAGTATTTGTCTTTTGGGGACTGGCTTATTTCACTAAGTATAATGGTTTCCAGTTGCATACATTTTGTTGCAAAAGAAAAGATTTCATTCTTTTTTTTAAGGCTGAATACTACTCCATACTCTCTCTCTCTCTCTCTCTCTCTCTCTATATATATATATATATATACTACAATTTCTTTATACAGTTATCAGTTGGTGGACATCTGGGTTGATTCTGTATCTCAGCTATTGTGAATTGAACTGCAATAAACATGGGCGTACAGATAACTCATATACTGATTTCATTTTATTTGGATAAATTCCCAAGAGTGGGATGGCTGGGTCATATAGTAGGTCTATATTCAGATTTCTGAGTTATCTCCATACTGTCTTCCCTAGTGGTTTTACCAGTTTACATTCCCACCAACAGTGGATTAGGGTACCTTTTCCCCAACATCCTCGCTAGCATTTAGCGTTTGAGAATTTCTGTATGAGAACCATTCTAACTGGGGTGAGGTGTTTGCATTTCCCTGATGGCTAGTACTCCTGAGCATTTTTTCATGTGTCTGTTGGTCATTTGAATTTCCTCTTTTGAAAAATGCCTGTTCAAGTCCTTTGCGTATTTCTTAACTGGATTATTTGTTTTGTTGTTGAGTTTCTTAAGCTCTTTATAGATTCTGGATATTAGTCCTTTATCAGTTGCATAGTTTGCAAATATTTTCTTCCATTCTGTTGGTTGCCTCTTCACTTTGCTGTGTTTCCTTTAGAAAAATGGGTGAATTCTTAGTGACTTGGTCAGCTAAATTCTTTCAGAAACTACCATCTGCGTGGACTCTCAGAGTTATAGTTGTAGCTCCTGCAGAAAAAGACAAATTTAATTTTAGCTAAGTACCAAGAATCCTGTTTACTTCATATTTAAAGAATATGAATCATTAATCACACACATATTATCATGCTCTGGCCCTATTCCCTTTATTTTTATTTTTTAAAAAGACTAATTTATTTATTTGGAAGTCACAGTTACAGAGACAGAGGAAGAGAGAGAGAGAAAGAGAGGAAGAGAAAGAGAAATCTTCCATCTGCTGGTTCACTCCTCAGATAACATGCCCAAGGCTGAAGTCAAGAGAAATGTTAATTCATAGTCCCTACAGTAGTCATTCCAGACAAAAGCATGTTCCTAGATATCAACCTATGGTATATGCCTCAAAAAAGGTTTAAAGGTATCTGACAAAAGTCAGAAGGTGGGAAACTTCGTAATTTAGCCCCATTCATGTGTTGGTCAGCTTATGCCTGTGGTCTTTAGCTCACAGTCTAGGTACTCAAACACAATTTGGAGAAATTTTCCATCAGGATTTAAATCCTGACATCAAATTTACCAGTATTATAGCAGCTCTCCTCAAAGTGTTATTCCTCAACTCAACACCTGGGAGTTGTGTCAGGAATGCAAATACTCACATCTCCCTCCTAAGGACCTAAGGTATCAGGGAATCAATGATCAGTGATTTACAGACCCTCAAGCTCATGCAGAAGAACCTATGGTTTTAAAAGCATTGAACAAAGGAAAAAAATCCTCACTTAATGGCTCTTTCAGAGTTGCATTAGGGATATTTGTGGGTTTGAACACAGTTCATCAATATTCGATGATGATAGTCTCAGCCATGGATCTAACCCATAGTTTCATTCTCTTTCTGCACATTCAAATTCCCATTTTCTTGCTAAGCCCTGTGTTTTTGGAATGTGATATTGCCCTGAGTATATATTCTGTTAGGTTACAGAATTTTCTTCCAAGGGTTTCTCCAGGCTGGGTGCTATATCCTTATTGGCTTCTACCATGCTTCCTGCTTGCAATTCAAGAAGTCTACCTCCCAGAGAGCTTTCCCCATTCTTCATGGGTTTTGTTTTCAGCAGAAAATCAACCTCAACAGATTCCTAAGCTGAAGCTGATGCTCTTATTTCTGATGCCTGTCCCCAAGGACCCACTGCAAACAATCCCCCTAACACATTCTCAAGACTTTGCTCACCGTTTCAATTAGCATTTCTGTCTCTCATGCCCCATTCTCAGAGTAAGTCAATTCTCTGGTGCAGTAAGTTTTTCCTTTGGCCACATATTCGAACCATCTCTGGAACTTCTAAAAATCCCAATGCCCAAACTACACCTTAAAAAGTGAAATAAAGTATCTGTGGGTGAGACCTATTTGACTTCCCTACACTATTCTTTTAGCACCATTCAGTTGCCATTAAAACAAACAAAAGATCTTTTAAACTAATATGCTTCTTTACTTCACTAGTTTTTTGTGCTAGATAAATGCCTTCTTTTCTTTTTAGTTATTTCCTGTTTTCTTTCTGGTCAATAGTGTAAGGAAAAGGGGAACAAATTGGTGTCTCCTCCCACGGGGCACCAAATGTAAGAAAGAGAGCACAGAACAGAGAGGATACAGAATTTGAACACACAGTCAGACCAAATTTATTCCAAGAAACTAAACTTGCAGAGATTGAGTAACCACCAGCATGCACACAGATCAAACACATGGCAGAGGGCCCAGACCCCAGTAGGCTGGGCCTTTTTATATCTTAGGTGGGCCAGGACTGGTAGGGGGGCAGTAGGTGATGGTGAGCTTCCCCATACAGGTTCTTCAGGGTTGAGCCACTCACTTCCAAACCTGGGGAAGAATGCAGGGGGTAGGGTGGAGAACAGGGTGTGAGACTGGTCTCTTGAAAGAAAGCAGGTGTAACAAGAACCTAAAATGGCTGAGGCTTATGTCCTTGTCCCAACATATAGTTTTGTTTCCCTAACAGAATCCTCTAGATTTTTCTTGTGGCATCTTTCGTAGTGACATATATAAAAACCTTAGACTGTGAATGTAAGAAAAGTAATGCTGTGCAAAAAAAATGTAAATTTCCATGTGTCTAAGGTGGAGAACCTGCTTGGGTTATGTGTTCTTATTGGACTATTGTCTAAATTAGGATTGGACTTGAACTGTTACTGTCCTTCCAAACTCTCGATTATTATTCCTGATTTTCAGTAAGTCTTCCTTAATTCTACAACTTCCTTATCTGTGCACTTCTAGAGCAAGGTCTGGTAAACACTTCTTTGAGTATGTTTTTTTTAATGAAAAAACAGTTTATGCTAGGTTTGTCAAGGTCCACGAGTTCATATTCTGCCTCCTCTCTGATAAAGGATAATCTCCACCATTACATTTACGCTTTGAGTTAAATGGTATGCTAGCAAATATGTACTTTAAATATCATTCTCTGTGATATTTGAGAAGAACAAAGAAAACATACCCCCAACATATTGAGACTAGATTAAACATTTTTGCAAGTGGGTTCTCTTTGGAGTTTTAATATGAAAATTGATTAAAGACATAAAAATTCACAAATAAAGTCCAGGTCTTGTACAATAAAAACTCTTAATTAAAACTACAGTGAATCTGTAATACATGCAAAAAGAAAATGGAGGTTGAAGGGGATCAGCAAATTTTCGGCACAGAGGGAAATAAATAGGGAGTTCCTGGAGGTCACTGTTGTGAAGTCTACTAAACTACTATTCAGCTGTCTTCTATGATTGGAAGGGTGATTTCTATCATGCTAATAACTGCCAACTTTTTAAACTTTTATTTAGTAAATATAATTTTCCAAAGTACAATTTATGGATGACAATGACTCCCCCCCCAATAACTTCCCTCCCACCCGCACCCCTCCCATCTCCTGCTCCCTCTCCCATTCCATTCACATCAAGATTCATTTTATTTATTTATTTATTTTGACAGGCAGAGTGGACAGTGAGAGAGAGAGAGACAGAGAGAAAGGTCTTCCTTTGCCATTGGTTCACCCTCCAATGGCTGCTGCAGCTGGCGCGCTGCGGCCAGCGCATCGCGCTGATCCGAAGCCAGGAGCCAGGTGCTTCTCCTGGTCTCCCATGCGGGTGCAGGGCCCAAGTACTTGGGCCATCCTCCACTGCACTCCCAGGCCACAGCACAGAGCTGGCCTGGAAGAGGAGCAACCGGGACAGAATCCAGCGCCCCAACAAGGACTAGAACCTGGTGTGCCGGTGCTGCAGGCGGAGAATTAGCCTAGTGAGCCGTGGTGCCTAAGATTCATTTTCAATTATCTTTATATACAGAAGACCATTTTAGTATATATTAAGTAAAGATTTCATCAGTTTGCACCCACACAGAACATAAAGTGTAAAATACTGTTTGAGTACTAATTATAGCATTAATTCACATTGGACAACACATCAAGGACAGAGATCCCACATGAGGAGTAAGTACACAGTGACTCCTGTTGTTGACTTAACAATTGGACACTCTTGTTTATGGTGTCAGAAATCTCCCTGGCTCTTGTCATGAGTTTCCAAAGCTATGGAAGCCTCTTGAGTTCGCTGACTTCAATCTTACTTAGCCAAGGTCATAGTCAAAGTGGAAGTTCTCTCCTCCCTTAGAGAAAGGTACCTCCTTCTTTGATGGACCATTCTTTCTACTGGGATGTCACTCACAGAGATCCTGCCATTCCATGAGTCTGCTGTGTATCCCACTTTTAATGATAGTCAACAAATTTACAAATTCTGGTCCTTTTCCTTTTTTGCCTCACATATTATAGATCATATGTTCTTTATTTTATGCAGTTCTTTGTTGTGATTCTATTGTCATCAATAATCTTTTGATTATAATTAGATTCCTAAGTGTAACTTATTATAGAGAATGTAGTAATGGGGATTCAGGGTGGCATTATGGTTTAAGGCAGTCTTTAGAACTTATTTCAAGTAGTTCTACCCCCAAGAGAAAAAGTCCTTTTTTAAAGAGCTTGCCATGGATACCAGATAGTAGAAAAAAATCAAATGTAATAATCATTCTTTTCAAAATAAATTGGCTGTTAACTGGTCCTTCCTGGGACATATTCTGGAATTCCACATTTTTTTCCTTATTCTGAATGCCTATAGTTACTCTGGGATGAAAATTTATTTTCATTATCATCTTCTTCATGAGCAAATAGTACTTTTATGCAAAGAAGTTACACAGGTTAAAAGGCATGGTATATTATATTATGTGACTCAGGGCTGTGTTAAAAGGGATAATTTGCTTTGTGATAGGGAAGATAGAAACTTTAAAAAAAAAAACATTAAATTGCTCCATTGAAAATAAAAAGCTAGAGTTTAGAAGGTTCCAAATATCTTGGTTTTTAGTCCAACTTTTTGTTTCCAATTACCGTGACTGACTTGTTTCCCCTAGCCCCTTCTTCATAAGATTACTGATTGCAGCCTGCACTAAGTTATCTGAATTCTTCTGGCATCCTCGCACAGGGAATAAGGACTCTAAGGGGAAAGGGAACATGAACTGCTCTTGCTGTGAGATAATATTTCTAGAGTCCTTGCCAGGGTTCCTTTCCAGTGTTATTTGGAGACATTCAATTAGAACTAGATAATACACATTGAGATAATGAAGATATTGGAAACCTGATAAATTCCTGTAGCCTAAAGAGGTGATGGTGAGTCTTGAATAAACTTGGGATGAAACTAGAGTACAAAACCTTCTGGCAACTGAAATTGGAATATTGCTATTTTCTGACAGCAAAAACAAGGATATAAGAAAATAAACATGTGAGCAAAGAAGAAAATATTGAAGTCTCCAAAGAGATAAAATTCTAGAGGGTATGAGGACATAAAGTCTTAAATCAATTCCTGTTTATTTTGCATTGAATTTCCATTTATGCAGTACATTGAACACAAGGAATTACATACTTTAAAGTTAAAAATTGATAAAAAAAACCTAATCATATATTGGGATAGATTGAAAAAAAAAAAAAAGCTAAGGAAGTATTTACATGTCCCAAATACATACTATCCTAGCAATAAAC